TTTCTCTGCAATCTCTCCAGCATCTGTTGTTTCTTGACTTTTTAATAATTGCCATTCTGATTGGCGTGAGATGATATCTCATTGTGGTTTTGATTTGCATTTCTCTAATAATCAGTGATGTTGAGCTTTCTTCATGTTTGTCAGGCACATGAATGTCTTCTTTTGAGAAGTGTCTGTGCATGTCCTTTGCTCACGTTTTAATGGGGTTGTTTTTTTCTCATAAATTTGTTTATGTTCCCTTAGACTGCATATCAGACCTTTGTCAGACGGATAGATTGCAAAGGCCTTCTCCCATTCTGTAGAGCGTCTGTTTGCTCTGACGATAGCTTCTTTTGTGGTGCAGAAACTCATTAACTAGATCCCATTGTCAATTTTTGCTTTTGTTGCAACTGTTTTTGGCATTTTCATCGTGAAAACTTTGCCGATGCCTGTTTTCTAAATGGTATTGCCTAGATTTTCTTCTAGGGTTTTTATAGTTTTGGCTTTTACATTTGAATCTTTTAGTTTTACATTTAAGTCTTTACATTTAGTCCATCTTGAGTTAATTTTTGTATAAAGTGCAAGGAAAGGGTTCAGTTTCAATTTTCTGCATATGGCTAGCCAGTTCTCCCAACACCGTTTATTAAATAGGGAATCTTTTCCCCTTTGCTTCTGTCAAATTTGTCTCTTCGACATTTGATGTGAGTGAGGTCTCACTCCCAGTTCTCAGTTCCTTGGAGGCCATGGTTATGCTTTCTTGGCTTTTGGAGCCATGATGATGGAAGGGCTGCTCTGCCTTTCTGTGCCTCTCTGAACAGGAAGAGTGGTGGGAGCTGCAGCAGATGGCTGTGAGGGGCAGGGAGCATGGAGAGGAGGGATGGGGGCCATTTTACAGTTGATGGGGCCAGGTGTGTTCTCCTCCCTCCATGGGCATGTCTGCATCTCACTGGTTTGTACTGAGTGAGCCTCTGGGATTTGTTGGGTGGGATGAGGAGGAATCAAAGGGCAGGAACGGGCAGCTTCTCCTAGCAGGTGCTAAAATCTAAGAGATTACAGGCCGCTCACACCACGACTTTAGACCTGTGTTTAACTTCAGGGAAGGTGTGAGGACACAGGTCATGGGGCAAGCATGTCATGGGGCACGGCCTGCAGAGAAAACCCCAAAGTTAAACACCTGCCTGTGTCTCTTAGTCACTGAGTCATCAACTAGGGAACGTAGGGGAACTCCTCTCTTTCTCTCTTTTTGGGGAGAGCTAAATCATTACATTTGATCTGGAAGCATACAGTATTTTTCCATTGCAAAAATTAATTATGGTTATCGTGGAGATATTTCAGCAAATAGGAAGTCAGAATCCAAGGAAAAGACACAGCTGACGCTTAAGCACTCACTGACACCCTCTGGTGTATTTTCTTTTTTTCTGCTTTTTTCTACTGAGTGGTTTGTAAACTTTTGTATCCTGTTCTTTTTGATTTAACACTGAAGCATGAAAATACTCCATGTTATTACAAATTCCACAGAAATATGCTAGGGAGGGTTCCATAATATTTCCTCATGTAGCTAAACTAACATTTAGTTAATAATTCCTCATATTACAATTTTTCTTTATGAACTAAGATTTCTCTTGATGAACATCTTCATGCAAAGTGATTTTCCCAGGAATAGGATTCTTTCTTTAGAACACCCACCAATATAGTCTATGGCCGTACCACCCTGAATGCATCTGATCTTGTCTGATCTCCAAAGCTAAGCAGAGTCTGGCCTGGTTAGGAAGTGGATGGGAGAACATTTACGAATGCAGATTTACTGGGTCTAAGAGTGGACTTTTCCTCAGGCTCTTGATACAAAGTATCATGTTAATTTCTGAAAAAGTGACACTGATTTCCACGTTCTGTTTCTGTAGGTACCTGTTTCCTCCAGTGGAAGATGTGTGACCTTATTGGACCCATTGTGAGACCCACGTGGGCCCAGACTTCCCCTGTCACCTCCAACCCACAAGCTGCACCCTTTGGTGAACCACCATGGGGTCTGGGTCTCTGAATGGTGTCGGTTCAGAGATAATATGCAATGCACTCAGAATCTCAATAGTTTCCTCTTCCCAGTGCAGAGTCACTCTAGCTGTGTTAATTTCCTGGGGTTGTTGTCTAAAGTCCCACATACTGAGTGGCTTAAACAGCAGAGGTGGATTCTCGCACAGCTTTGGAGGCCTGGGGTCTGAAATCAGGGTGCATGGGAGGATGCACATAGCTTCTATGCACATACTATGTCATTTTATACCAGGGAGTTGAGCATTTATGGATTTTGACATCCTTAGGGGGTCCTGAAACGAGTTCCCCCAGTGAGAAGTCAATCACCACCTGTGGAGGTCTGTGCTCCAGACCCTGACTTAATGATGGGTGAACGAATGCACTCTCACACCTATTTCAGTGATTCAAGTGGGCTAGGGAGGCTCATCAGCTGCTTTCAGAGGACAACTGCCACCAATCGACCAAGACCCCCTGTCCCATCCTCATATTTTTTCAGTAAAGATAACAGAGGTTCTAAGTCAACACACTTGTGATAATTAACATGGTTAAAAGAGTGGTTTTAAGAATGATGAAAGCGTTAGGTTCTGGGGCCCAGAGTAAACACTATTAATGGGAAATTCCCCTTTGATTTCCCCCTGAGAAGACCATCAGCACAAAGTTTACATGAGTAAACAGAGTAGAGACAAAGGGATGTAGGGTAAACAGGATGAACTGGGAAGGCCTCTTATCATGACTGTCTTTTCCCTAATCTAATGTAAATGAGCTGGCTGCCTTTAGCCCGTCCCAATTAAACCTTTTGGCCTTCCAAAAGGTTTGAGACTATCATCTACAACTTTCCCTAATATTTTCCTAACATTCTGGCAGCCAGCCCGAGTGAATTCCAATAACCCAGGGGTGCCAAGGGATGACTGCATTGCATTTTCAGTCCCTTTTTCCCTTTTCTTTGCTAATAAACATTGACTTTGCTTTTCTTTCTCTCCCTCCTTCCTTCCTTCCTTCTTTCCCTGTTTCCAGCTGTTACAAACAATACTAAAAAGAATATCTTTGCCTGTGTTTTCTTCTGCCCAATTACGAACATGTTGCTGGGTTAAGAGACCCAGTCTGGAACCAGCAGAATTTGCTTAGCTATAAAATCCGTGTGGCTTAAACCTCACCAAACACTGCACACCTTTTCACCAAATGACTGTACAGTTTACATCCCATTTCCAAGAGCCCCTGTTTTGATTCGAAAAATTAGAGCAGGGAAAACCACTGTCACCATGAGCACCACCCCAGGCCTGGCACCCCTGTCCTGTCTTTGGTAAACTTAAGCTGCCCACAGAGGACTCTGAGCCTTGACCCCTCCCCGGGTCCTGCGGTCAGGCCTCTCCTGGAGACCCCGGCGCAGAAGTGGCAGCCCCGGAAGGAGGGGCTGGGTCCTGTGGTGGAACAAAGAGGAGCATGGCAGCCCCCATTCTGACCCAGGCTCCTCTCCCAGAGGGCTGCAGGAATGTACTGACTAGGTCACCCAGGAAAAGAAAGTGCCTTTGTGAGGCTAGCATTCCTTTTCCTCAGGGCCTAATCTGTCACTGAAGAAAAATGTTTCTTGCATTGTCCATTTATTCACTCAGTTCTTCAGCAGCTGTTTCTTGAATGTCAATTGAAGCTGCTGTTCTAGGGTCTGGGACCATCTCAATGAGCTAAGAGACGAGAACCCCTGCGCCCATGGGCCCTCCCATCTACTTCAGGGAGGAGTGCAATGAATAAATAACAAACAACGTGTCAGTCACTTGTTTTATCCACCAGGGGGTAATGAGAGCTATGGAAAAAAAAAGCCCCCAAGCATGGAGTGGAGGGAGGCATGGTGCAGGGGAGCGGGAGGCTGTCCTTCAAAATACAGGAGTCTAGGGGCCCAACTGAGGAGGTGTGAGAGGGGGAGGGATTCCAGGGGACCAATTGGGGAGGGAGCCCCATAGACACAGGGGAGTGAGCTACATTCACGTTGTCAGTTTTTAATGGCAGTTCTTGTATATAATTGTTTTTCTTCCCCCCAATGTCACCCCTCTCAGAAGGAGTCTCCATCTGTCACTCAGGCTGGAGGGCGACAAGGTTGCTCAGTGGTGCAACCTTGGCTCGACGCAACCTCCACTCCCGGGTTCAAGTGATTCTCTTGACCCAGCCTCCGGAATAGCAGGGATTACAGGCACCTGCCACCACGCCAGGCCAATTTTTGTATTTTCAGTAGAGATAGGGTTTCACCATGTTGGCCACGCTGGTCTCAAACTCCTGACCTCAAATGATCCGCCTGCCTCGGCCTCCCAAAGTGCTGGGATTATAGGCACGAGCCACTGCACCCGACCTACAGTTTCATTATTAAAACAATTCCACTGTGAAAGGGAAAAGAACAGAAAAGAAAGAATTAATTTAGATAAATAAGTGAAAATGTGCGCGCAGTTCCTTGGCTTAGGCTGCTGAATGGTTGCCGGCGGCTGTCGTCGGCGTGAGCCCGAGCAGGAGCCGCTTTAGCCGGGGCTGAGTTTCCCCCACAGAGGACCTCGAGGGCTTTGCTCATGCAAATTGGCCATGGAAATGTCTAACTGGACAACTTCCGTGAGAAGGGATGCAGTTTGAAGCCCCAGATCCCCTGGGGGCAGAGGGAAAGAGGAAAGAACAGGCCTTTTATTTCCCTTCTTGTCTTGTTCAGACACAGCTGTCTTACCCCAGACTTGGATTTCAAAATTGTGCAAGACTGCTCACCTGTCCATTTGAATTTGAGAGCAGAGCAGACAGAATGGGCTTCATCAGCTCCGTATCCCTCTGCAAGGTCACGGCAGCCACCCCATGAGCCACTGTTGTCACGGCTGAGCCTATCTCTGGCCGTCTCTATGAATCACTTCTGCAGTGAGTGCATTGTTTACGCTGCAGGGAGGGCCTCTCACATACAGGTAGGACGGGGATTAAGGTCAGGCTGGAGGAGGCTCCCACGGGATAAGAGGGACTTTCTGGATCTCAGATCCCTCAGCCAAGATGACCTCACTGCATGTCATCCCTCTGTATCAGCAAATCCGTCACTGTGGCTTGACCGAGCCTAGGAAACACCTTTTATAAAATCAGTGGAGATTATCATCTCGGAGGGTCTCGGGACCTCCTTGGGCAAATGTTATCTAACGCTCTGTAAGCAAACAGAGCCTGCCCTATAAAATGCAGGGCTCCGACGGCGTCTCATCCCTGACTCGTGGTCGTCTTTGGAGCAGAGAGGAGGCAACGGCCCCCATGGAGTACAAGGTGATCTCTGCCCTGGTCCTGGTCTTTGTGCTGGCCCTCAGCACCCTGGCCGAGACCCAGTCAGGTAAGACACGCTTCTTCCTGCTCTGCAGGGCACAACCAGGGCGGGCAGCCTCCACCAGAGCCACTGTTTTACGTGCATATTTTTGAGCACCTGTTTCTTGCTGTTCTAGGCCCTTAAAAGTATATCCCATTTTATAGGATCAGCAAAACCAGTGGAGAATAACGCAGGAGGCAGGGCCCCGGGAGGCCTTTGAGAAGCACTTTGAGGAGGCTGCTTCCCTTGGCGGGGGCTGTTCTCCGTGTTGGGAAGAATATACAATGCTTCCAAGTGTCATGTTTCAAAGAGGAAGTGTAGGCGTGGGGTCTCAGAGTTGTGCTTCAGAGTGTTCAAGCCAACATCTCCCCCAGGGGTGGACCCTCCAAAGGCCCACCCAGAGAGGCCCAAATGCTCCTCCTAGCAATGGCCAACTGGGAGACCCTTTCCCATAGCGTCCTGGGCTCCCCTGGGATCCACGCTCTGGGAGTCAAAGCCACCTCTCCCATGGGTGCATGGCTGGCAATGCCTATTGCCTGGTGTCGTCCAGTGGATCGGCTGCCCTGGGGAGTGGAGGAGGAGGCTGTTCTTGTTTCCTTGGCAACTGTGCATCTCAGCTCTGTTACCTGCAGAATGGAGAACAGTCTGCCCTAGGCTGTCAGGGGAATGCCGTGTGGCAGTGCCTGTGACTTGCGCTTTGCCAGTGGCAGGGAGCTGAATAATGTGTCTGTTGCTGTTAGACACAGTTTCAAGGTGGGGGGCAGGAGAAAGGGCTTTCCACGTTTCCAAAGCAAGGGTTTCCAGAGATGTCTGAACAGGGGGTGCCCAGTGGTGGTGTCCGTGCTCCATTGCCCTCCGGCTACCTCCTGATCAATGCCGTGGGGTACGGTGCCCGAGGGGTGGGCTTGGGCATCATGGAAGAGGAGATGGCATCAGGCGGCCGTGGGAGGCCCCCTAAGCCCATGGCAGGGAGCAGGGGAGCCTCAGAACCCGAGAGGGAAAGTGGCCTTTTGTGCAGGATCAATAGGACGGGTCCCCATGCTGGCCACCTGCCAGGCCCATCTGCCTCCGCCCTTGCCCCCACCCCTGCCCCCAGACCTGCCCCCTGTGCTGTGGGATGGCAGAGGCCGTGGCAAACTCTCCTCTCCCTCCCCTCCATGCCCTCTGGCCCAAGGCTCAGAGCTTCTTTGTGGGTCACTCAGGTCCATGGTCCTGTTACAACAGAAATCTGGAATACTGTGTACAATTTAGTGCATGCACATGTGGAAACCGTTTCCATTTATTTCCATCACATCACGTGTGGAAACCATTTCCATTTATTTCCATCACACAACAAAGTGGGTGGGCAAGACAGAGCGTGCGGGGGGCAGAACGCCAGGGCTGGAAATCCTTCCTGCGGAGGAGCCCCCTCCGGGGTGCTGATCCACCCCCCACAGCACCTCTCTGGACCCCCACAACCTCCTTGGGGTGGGTGATGATCACTTCGCCTCATGATGGAGCCCAACCTCAGCAGGGCCGCAGAAGTCACTGGGTAGTAGGAGGTGGACCTGGATCCTCCCCAGCAAGCCAGCAACACCTTTTCTAAAGAGAGCATGAGGCAGCCGCAGATGCCAAAGCAGACAAGGGAGCAGTCCCGCCTGGCCTCCCCTGGGGCGTCCTCACCTGAGTCAGTGTGGCCAGACTGAGTTCCTCCCCTCCTATGCCCCAAGACAGGGACAGGGACAGAGATAGGGACAGGAACAGGGAGGGTGTTCTGGGCTCTTCTTTCATCCCTGCTGCAGACTGTCACCCACCAGATCCTAACGGGTTGCCTTGAGACCTTTGACTCCACGGGGCTCAGAGCCTGAAGCTGTTGTATTAGAATCTCTTGCATAAGATCCCTCGACGGCCCCCAGCAGGCCATGCCCATACATGTGTCTTCCCCTCTAGACTCCCTTCCTCACTGCCCTGCTTCAAGCTGTTTAACAACTCATAGTCCATGTGGTCGGCTCCTCCCAGGCCACCCCACCCCATCCTCTCACCTTACCTGCCATGGGCTTTCAGCTCCTGATCACACCTGGGTCTCTCCAATGGCCTTTGCACATGCGGCTCCGTCTCCACCTGGTGAACCTCCTCCTGCAGGGAGCTCCCCTGCTTTGTTCAGCCTGCTTGTCATTGACCCCTCCTCGGAGCGCTCCCCCACCCCCCGCCATGGTTACCCTGGGCACCCTGGGATGATGGCCTTGCGTTCTCTCTCACATTTTCTTGGCTTTCTCCTCC